CCCTGTTTTAACCCATAATTTGATATTTTATAGTTTGGTTTGAAATTTTCTTGAAAATAATTGTTTTGTGACAGTTTTGGTGGCTGCATGTGTGATCTGCAGCAAACAATACTGCACTTTGACCCCCGAAGCAGTGCATCTGTGTGTGGGAATGAAAATAAAAATTTACCCATAATTACTTGCCATGGTCAGTTTGTTTTGTAGGCCTAATCTTAACCTAGGCCTACTATTTTCCCTACAGTGGAAACAATATCATGTAACAGGCCCGGTTAGAACTGTAATAACAGGGATTTTTTAATCCGTTTTTTCCTACCCTTTGTCTCTATTAAAAGTTATCGGCAATAACAGGGCCTCATCGGAGCCCAATTGGTTATAGAAAGGACAAAAGCTCGTTAACAATGTGTAAAAAGTGAGAGAGAGAGAGTAGCACAGTGATGGAGCACACCACTGCAAGCACACGCAGCGGTTGAAGCGAGAGGGTTGCGGTGTGCTGTCGACTTCTATCTAGCCCTAAGCCTAGCTACACGCTCGTGTAATGTGTCATGCGCATGACTGCCACATGGCTACGACAGAAACTACCCATGAATTAAAACAGCTGGATTAGTCCACAAATGCTTATTTCCTTGCATTTCTGATTTAACAGAGATCTAATAACAGGAGTTTTTTCTCTCGTCCCACCGTCCCTGTTATAGTAATTATATATATATATGTATATCAGGTTTCCACTGTATTTTTCTGAGGATTTTGAGGAAAACTCCTATTTTTATTCAAGGAATGGTTGACCGTTCTGTCATCATCGTATTTGAATTTTCATTTTATTTTGAGTGACCATCATGTTTTTTTCTTTCCTTTAGATCGTCCAAAGACATCGAGCACCATGAGAGACAGAACGACCATCAGGCGTCTTCAGATGTATCGGAACTTTAAACCAAAGCGGTAAGTGGTGGGTTCTAGGTTTTTAAATCGTGATAATGTATCTGATGTATATTTTTGGGTTTTTCTTGGTAGGCTTTTCATTCACATGGTTGAATCATCTAAGCCATTTCCCAAATAAACATTTTTGCAAAGGGATGCTAATTCACACCGTGAACAAAATAAAGTCCATAAACCATTCGGTGCCAATATTTTGTCAGTTTGAGATACACAACTCCATTTATCGGGGTGTCCAGCAGGGTCGTAAAGTCGTAAATTCGGTGCCTTGGTCGTAAAGGAAGAAAATGATAGTAAATGTGCAGTGAAAGTTGTAAACATTTGGTAAACAGTCGTAAATTAACCTGCATTCATAGTGATGAAGTTTGCAAGACTTTTCAGTGAAGGGTGCATAGCCATGGTACTCGGCCATTACCAAGTCTCATCTTTTGTCAAAATTATAGTATTAGTATCGCGGAACTCGAATATTTGAAAACCAAATCCGATAAAGTTAGTAAATTCATTTTTGCCGGTCGCGATTGTGATAAAATAGATCTATTCATTCAGTTTTTCACTGTCCGAGAGTACGTTTCACGCGGGCAGGCGGAAGTGTATGTGACACCGAGGCTCGATCAGGAAAATCAATATCTACTTTCGCTTTCGTTACCATCCAGAAATTTGCCATCGATAGACTGATAACGCAACATTTGTGACATTCAGGTTGTGCAGTATAAACGCTATTTGTGTCGCCGTACAAGTAAAATTTCATCAATACTGGGACTTGTGGGGAAAAAAGAAAATACAAGCGGCGTCTGATTTTGAGATTGTCGGGCGCGCCATCGTGACCAGTCAGTGAACCTGTGCGAGTTCGAAAGTTGGAGGGTTGCGAAGTATAAGACTACGGAATGGGGGAGGGGATTATTGATTTTAAAAAAATTTTTTTAATGTACACTTGGTGGAGGGGGGGGGGGGGGGTGCTGGAGGCAACACCAGGGGACAAAAACTTGGACGCAAATTTCAGAATTTTGATAAGTTTTAGAGCTCTCTGCAAAGCGCGCGTTGCCGTTGGTGCAGGCCGTGTGTGGAATCTGGATCCTTCATACCTTATAATTGTAAGCTGTGTTCTTGAACTAAAGTGTACGCATTTCATTTGATGGGTGATAGTAAATTATAACTATTATAGTGTAGCTTTCTGTTCAAGACTGGCAGATTTTCAGTGTCACTGCTTCTTGCCCTCCCTCAGCTATTACAACTCTCACACTGCATGGGTGTACTTGAGCCATTCAAGTTGTTGCTCTACTTTGAGTTTGAGCAATAATTTTTGTCTGTCACGTTCATACTATGAATCATGACACCCAGACTGGTTCTTGACAGTCAATATTCTGGTTCAAGTAGGATTGATTTTTTATATAATATTTTAGATAATGAGAGGAAAATATAAGTTAACAGACTGAAACTAAGACCCCATTGCGGCACTAGCGTGTTGTTGACAGGATATATATTGTGTGTGTGTTGTTGTTGTTATGTAACATGCTCCTGGAAAATTGAGAAGCCGGTTTGGCATTCACCCTATGTGAACGCATTAGGTCTAAATCTAGTGACGAGCGAACGTGCGATCGTCTGTCTATCCTCCATTTTGTTGACTGGACTTTGCTGTGTGTTATATTTTCGTTTCATGCACATATGTTATTGATGGCATAAATGAATTGGGGTTTGGTTTGCTGGGTAGTAAATTTTTTCAGGAAATATTGCTGGACACCCTGATTTATGCACATTTTTTGTCTCTGTACATTATGTTTTCTTTTCCTTTCCTTTCTGCAGAGATAAAACTGGCAAGATTGTGAAAGCAGCTCCTTTCCAGTCAACACTCAAATCCGGAACAATGGCCAGAGTAGAGCCCAACAGGAAATGGTTTGGTAGGTACAGCCCACTATGGTAGGCCTATGTCTGCTGTTGTCTAAAAGAACAACGATATATACTGATTTTTATGTTAATTCTTTTGTGAACTTTTCAGCTACATGGGCACTCAAAATTTCATGATTGAAAAAAACACCACATGATTAGAAAAATATAAGTCTTATGACATGTAGCGAAAGATAATTCCTACTGTTTTGGACCTTTCATTTGTCGTTTTTTTTCTTTTCCCCTAAATAATTGTTGGTTTTTTTTGGTTTTGTTTTTAGTAGAGGTTTTACGGCGCTTGCAACTGCATAAAAGGTCATATGAGTGCCAGAAGATTAGAGATGTTACAAGAGAGTAACAAACATAAAAAAGAAGGAAGGGAGATAAGGACAATAGATGTTTGGTAGGAAAGAAGAAGCACACCACACCAGAGCACCCGCCAACCACCCACATAATTGTTTTTGTGTGTGTGCAAAATTGAGCAAATAAGGCATTTTAAAAGCACTTTGTCTTATCAGTCTATTACGTAGTGGTGTCTCAATGCAATGTAAGCAGTATAAATTTTTTTCTACAATACAAGGCATGTTTTATTGTGTCAAGTACTGATCCTTGTGTCACTTTAGAGAAATAATTTGTTTTGCTAAAAAAAATTTGTCTCAGCTTTTGGATAGCATATTTGTTAAAATATATTTGAAAATACGTAATGTCTAACTGAAAGTAGTTTCCATTTGTGTGAGATTGGGTATGAAACAGTGATTTACAAGGTTGATTGTTGCTTTGGATACTTTCTCTTTTTTTTTCAATACTCTTTTCTGAATTTTCTATTCCTCTTAATGTGTACATAGTAATTTAATTTATTTTTCTTTGGTTCTCTTGAAGGAAACACAAGAGTGGTCACTCAGAATGCGTTACAGTCTTTCAATGAGGCCTTGAACAAGGTGAAGGCTGATCCATACAAAGTTGTGATGAGCTCAACGAAGAATCCAGTGACCCTTTTGAGCTATACGCCTAAGGAAGTAAGTTGTTTTGTACAGCGCTGTGAGGATTGGTGTATTTGTAGTTTTTGTGGTGAAAAAGATCAAGCAGGTTTAAAGCACTAAGTGAAGGAGATAACAACGAATAGTATAGGAAATAATTTTTTTTTTAATGATCCGTCTTAAAAAAAATTATGGGGAGGGGTTAACATACATGGCTAACCAAATGTTGTTTGCCATGCTTTTATTGATGTTTATGGTGTAGCTGTTGGGCGCTTCATAGTTGCATGCTGGAGACCTGAGTTTGATTCCCTAGTAGAAAAAAAAATGTGTTGAGAGTCTGTCTTTCTGCTGGGATATTGTATCCCTCCTAGCCCAGGTTGGCCGTGACAGGCAGGGGTGGGAGCCTGCCTCCTCAATGGTCTAAATTGTGTCATTGGGTCATAAAAACACCTTCATAAAAAAAAATAGCCATGCTTTTGCTTGTTTGAAGTTTTAATTGTTGATGCCTATTGTTTAGTTTAGTTTAACTCACCCAGCCCTAACAACGATAGCATCGGTATGGACAATTTCGCTCTCTCGACCAAAAACACTACTTTTGTGTGAAGCGAACTATCGCCTAATTGGGAGAGTACCGGTAACCATTTGTCGTTTGAAACAGAATATGACCATAAGTACAAGCCCAAATTTAGGACAAAGTAAGCTATTTTCGTGAACCATGTGAGTGGGTGCGAAATTTGAACTCACTTCCTTTCTTCACTTTTTGTTTACTTTTTGACTCTGTATATAGACCTTTTTCCACGGAGTATTGCATAAAAACTATGACATATTTCGCATTCAAATTTTCAATACACAAAGGTTTGGATAAAATGTGTACCAAATTTGAGTAGGATATGTTAATATTTAGGGGTGTTTTTTTCAATTTTTCAAAAAGTAAGCATCTCCAGGGAGAGCTGACAACCGGGAAGTGTGGGCCTAGGGTTGAGTAAGTTAACTTGAAAGCATAAATAACTGACACCCCTTTTTGTCAACACTTCCTGCAAGTCAATAGTTCATTTTTATTGGGAAATTATGGCAAAGAATAGGATTTTTACAGTTTATTTTCATTTTGTATGCTATACGAAGCTTTTTAGTTTTGCATGTCAAATGTGCTCTTGAAAGGAACTCTCTATTATATTTTGTTTTGAGGTGTGTATAAATAAGAAGATTAAAATGTCAACTTATTTTCAGGCTTCTGCTCCTCGGCTTTTGGATCGAGAACCGTTTGAACAAGTTTTTGGCAAGAAAGCAACTCGTAAAAAGCCTACTCTGGACACTTATGATCTTGATGTAAGTAGAATTTTTTTGTTACTTGTTGGCGTTTGTTTTGAGACGGTTGGGTAATTCCCTCCTGGTTTCATTTGGAAAAATAATGTCTAAGATACCTAGAATCTAGAAGGCAGTGGATGAAGGTCAATAACGTAACATATTGCTTCAAACAGTTAAACCATGAAGATGTCTCTTTGGGTTTGATGATGAGGTATTAATAAGTATGAAAGAGCTTTAAATGCTGGAAAAGAAGACACAACAAGGAAAGACAATTCATTCTGTGCTTGATTGAGATACACCAATTTAATTTTGTGAAACCCCAAGCCTTTGTTGCTTTGTTCAGCTTGTCTACTGTAGATTAGCTCTGTTCTGTGTAGGTTAGTAGCCTACAGTTTGAGCTCTGATGTCTTTGACGCTTTAAGCTAAGAATCTACTTCTGACAGTGGGGTGGGAAAGATGAAGAGCAGTGTGACTTTTTGTTTTCCCTATTGTTGGACAAATTTTTAAAGGCTGCTCTTATTGGCCCACATGGGCAAATAAGCTGGGGTTTATTGGCCCACATTGGCCATTTAATGCATTGTTTTTCAAAGTATTTCATACATGGTATTGTCCCAACTTGTTCTCTAACTTCTTAGCTATTGTTCATCTTTTTATTTTTAGCATTAGATTGGAAAACTATACATTCTCAATTTAAAATATGTGATTGATGGACTAATTTGTTGAGCTATTTTTGAAGATGAGATGACTTTTCGTTCTTAATTAGCTTTAATAGTTTTTGATTATTAAGATTAAATAAGAAATAATAAATAAGGCTATTACTATTAGCATTCTGTATCCTTAATAACACAAATGAGTTTTTGTTATCTTTTGGGATCTTGTTGGTTTGGGAGTCATTCTAGATCTAGATTCTAGATCTACTCCTTAATATTATAGTAGAAATTGACTTACTTTCAGGTGTAAAATATAATATTAACTTAAGCCTTAGAGAAGTGTATAATTATAATATAAAATAATTTCTCTGATATTTAATGGGGATTTTGCTGTTGTATTTTAATTTAAAATAATCATTTGTGGATTTGGGGGGGGGGGGGAGACCAAACACAGGGGAGATAACTCGCAATTTTGTGGGCAAATAATAAATGTTCTAGGGGAAATTTTATATGCCCCTGTGGGCCAATAAGCACTCCGTCCTTAAATGAAAAAGTCTTACCTTTTTAAAAATAGGAAATGGTGAAAAATGCTGAGTCTGCTCTTGCTAAGTGGGAAGAAGACCAGAGCCTGTTGACTCCAGTAGAAGAGGGAGTTAAAGACGAACAGCTGGAGATTGTCTTCAAGGCTGGCACATCGAAACGCATTTGGAATGAATTGTACAAGGTAATTGTTTTGATTAACTCTTATCTTTCTGCATAGATATGAATGTTGCTTGCTTCATAAGTCGCAACTGTGATTATAGGAGCATTAGCGTACATTTAGTCTTTTAACAAATTTGGAGTGGAAAAATGTGAAGTATTTATATTTTGAATTAGTTTTTTTGTAACCTGTTTATTTTATTTTAAAAAAATAATTTTGAATTCATGAATGCAGTTTTATTCGTTATGTTAACTTCTGTGATGAAGCATTTTACCTGCAAGGATTTGGGTTTGTTTTTTTGTTATGATGTATTTTTTCTGAATTATAAAGTTACGTACAATGGGAACTGAACTGTGGAGTCCGCTTAAACCGAACACGTTTAATCTGTATATATATAAATATATATATATATATATATATATTAGAGATATATTAGACATGTTTAGGGTGTGCTTTTTCTTTTGAAGTGGTCTCATAATAATCTTTGGTGCATGACTTCCTTTTGTTTTGTCACTGCTTTATGAGACCAGACAGCAAAGCTGAAGAATCAAGCCACACTGACCTCTATTGTCTCTGTGGTTCAAACTTTCATCTACATATATATATTATATATATTTTTATGTGTGTGTTTGTTTCTGTAGGCCTTGCAAAAGGCTTATCATACCTTTTGTACACATACAGATCTTGCCATAAGTATCCTAGTGTGTTAAAAATAAACTCGTAACATTGTAGCCCACATATTTTTGACTTTCTATACGGCTTTCAGTTTAAATATACAGTGATATTTCTCTGATTTGTCTTAAGAAATCTAAACATCAGTTGTGGGATGAGCTAAAGATGTTACCTTATTAAACTGGAAAGATTTGATTCGTTATTGGGGATGTCATCCCATTTAGAAATTTAAAGTTCTGCAGAAAATGTGTATACTAATAAATTTGCAGCATTATTATGTCTAAATACCTTAATAATTAATATATAAGATAATTACATAGTGCATTTCATTAGTTTAGTCCAGTGTACTTTTTAAAAATTGCTGTTGCTATACCCTTTGATGTATTTGGTATAATATATATATATATTTGTGTCATGACGCAGGGGAATCAGGCGCTCGTCAATTTTTGTGCGTGTGGAGTTATTGGCATCATCTGAAAGCTGATTTATTTGCCATGCTTCCAATGAAGTAAATATCCATCCGTCTTGAATAGAACTCAAGATATTTGCTATTGAAGGAAGTGAGATCGCCTGGTTTCAGTTGTGAAATTAGCGAGAAAATGGCCGCCAAAGTTTGGCAACTCCAATAGCTTTTAAGAGTCTTTGAAAAGTGAAAAATGACATATTTTGTGCCTTTCATAAATGTTTTTCAGTAAAATGCACATAGAAATATGTTTTTATATGGACACAAAAGAGGGTGAGCCAAAAAACAAAAATTCGAAAAAAATTTACAGAACTGTCCCGAAAAATGTTGATTTCTTGGATTTCGTTATATTGACAGGCGCCTGATTCCACTACAATGCCTCACATTTGTAGTCTTTTGTGAATTGGGTTATTGGGTTTCTTGTTATCGTGTTGTCCCGCCATACAGTTGTTGCCTAGTCAGAGGATATATTCAATGGCTCAATCATTTTTTGCTCAAAATTGTTGTAAATTTTGCAGCAGTTTGTTGAGCCAGACAGTATTGTTGAAGAATCAAGCTGCTCTGGTTTGTGTTGTACCAGAGTGGTTCAAACTTTCAATGACAACATTTGACTTTGCTTGTCTCACTTGGGCTTACTGCTTTGGAGAAAAGGTTACAAAAAGGCTCTCTTAGTATGAGATTTGAGACAAGGTACATATTTAACATCTGGTGTGTCTTAGTATGTCCTACATGTTTGTCTTTCATTTAATGTTAGTACTGCAGGCAGGTGGGGGGGTATGTCTATCTTCATTAGTCTCCTGTCTATTGGTGTTCTTCTTACCTAGCGCTGAATGGCCATAATTGTATTGTGTTTTTCTTTACTCAAAGTCTTGTTAGTGATATTTCTAGTTTTTTATAACTTTCTGACTGCTCTGGCATCTGGCTAAGTATTTTACCGTTTCATGGATACTTTACTTTACTTTTCCGATCCAGCAGCCATTTGGGTTCTAGCCCTTCGGTCTGAACTGTTTCATGGATAAAATGTTCGTTTAATTCCTGTGGAAAGAAATGATTGTATGGAGAATCTCCATCCATGTTCTGGAACGTTGTATCCTCCTAGCTCAGGCTGGCCCTTAATATATAAGAAGGAATCGGCATTCCTCCTAAATGATGTAAGCTTTGTCCATGGGGCATTGGCAATTATATATTCCTTATTAAGAATACCTTGATTCTGCACTTTTTAAGGAACATATTTTTATTAAATGTTGCTTTAATTATTTTTAAAAATTCCATCCTTAGGTGATTGACTCGTCTGATGTGCTCATTCAAGTCCTAGATGCGAGAGATCCAAATGGAACGCGGTGCAAACAAGTGGAGAACTACTTGAAGAAAGAGAAATCCCACAAACATCTTATCTTTGTTCTCAACAAGGCTGACTTGGTGCCCAACTGGGCTATAGTAAGTTCATAGAAAGCTAAAATTCCTATTTTTGTTTCACCTTGAAAATATTTTTTTGTTAGGAATATAGGTGTAAATAAATGCAACTTCTCTCAGTTGTAGAAAACAGAATGTTCAGGAGACTGATGCATAAATCTAAACCAAGATATGAAATTGTGTCCAAAACTATTTCATCTCAATTCATCTATCAATATGAAGCCAAGAGATAGCTTTTTATGGAGCAAATTGGCCAAGTTGGCCTCCTTAACTTCACCACAGACTGTTGGATGTCATGGAAGATTAAGGTGTACATGGCGGTGGTATAGAGTCTTGAACTTAATCATCATTTAGGGTCACTAAGCAGCTGAAAGTCTGGCATCCACCAAACTAAGGTAAAGTGTTCTGTGGCTGGGGCAGTGGTAACAAAGTCACTGCTGTGGTAACAGATAATGTTTGCAACATGAGAACATCTGTCACGGTTGTGGAGCAGAAGGCGGCTGAATGGGTCGGAAACTGTTTTTGAAAATACTTAATACTCCAGTAAATGGGGGGGGGATGCCATTGCTCGACTTAACTGTAAAGGTTTGCTTGCGGGAAGAACATTGTGTGTGAAGCCCTCAAGAGTTTATGAAATCATGGGTTCATGTGTGTGAAGCCCTCAAGAGTTTATGAAATCATGGGTTCAAAGTGTCAGAATACTGAGTTCGTATCCAGCTTAACATTATTATTGTTTGTACTACTGTTCATTTATATTATACATGTGACTATGAGCAAGTTTGAGTGCAAGCATACTATTATGGTTATGTGCACAGATGTGTGTGGAAGAGAAGATATGTGAAAGGAGTGTGTGTGTGTACGTGGTGAAGCACCAAACCAATGGGCCAGGATTTGGACTATAAAGATGTATCTTATCTTATCTAAATGCTCATGTACTGTTACTTGCTCTTTGTATTGCACATAGACAGGTGAATAGTATTTAAATAATTTTTCTAGAGTAATGCAGTAGTGATTTTTAAATCTGTTTTGATGCTTCTTTCTCAGATTCTTTTGTTTTGACAAATTCAGGGATTTATTTTGTCAGTGCAGTCTTGATTGTGAAAATGTTATCATTTCTCTCCAGAAAAAATGGGTAGCCATACTGTCTGCAGAACACCCAACAATGGCTTTCCGTGCCAGTATCACCAACTGCTTTGGCAAAGGAGACCTCATCTCTCTTCTCAGACAGTTTGCCAAGGTATGCTGAAGTTGTGCTTTGTTCTAGTCTGATATTTAGTACTTGCGTATTTTGCCTTTACGAATGAACGGGGGCTAAAGTCATGGACTGGGTAGTTTATCGTTGAAGGGATGACATTAATGAGACGTCGCCATCTGGCATTGTTCAGTCTTTGGGATTTAGGCTTTTTTTTTTTTTCTTTCTTTCTTGGAAAACTCAACTTTTGTCGACCAAAAGCATACCAAAAACTGTGAGTCTTGAGACGAATCAGTTACTTGCTTTTTAACTGTTTTCTGCCGGGACATGGACAAACAATTTATCGACAAAATGTAACAAACTGTAAACATAGCGTAGTGGCAGCACTTGAGTACAAACTGTACTGATTTTAGCATTGCAGCAGACGGGTCATGATTTAAATGTATTGCATTGTCTTTTTTTTTTTTCCATCCTCAGCTCCACAAGGACAAAAAACAGATAAGCGTTGGAATGATAGGCTACCCCAATGTTGGGAAAAGCTCCATCATCAACGCCTTGAAGTCAAAGAAAGTGTGTGGTGTAGCACCTGTGCCAGGAGAAACCAAGGTGTCATCTTGTTTTGGATTTTTGTTTTATAGCTTGAATGATTTACTGTCGTACTCTGCTAAGGAGAAACCAAGGTGTCATCTTGTTTTGGGTTTTTATTTTATAGCTTGATTGATTTACTGTCGTACTCTGCTAAGGAGAAACCAAGGTGTCATCTTCTTTTGGATTTTTATTCTATAGCTTGAATGATTTGTGAGGCAGCGTGGTGGAATCAGGCTCTCATCAATATTTGGGCATGTAGAGTTATTGGTATCATCTTAAAGCTTGTTCACTTGTCTTTACTTGGATGAAAAAAACATCCATTTATCTTAAATACAAGTCAAGATATTTGCGAATGAAGGAGGTGGGGGTCACCCGTTTTTAGAGGTGAAATTAGTAAGAAAATGGCCACCAAAGATTAGTTATTTCCTTAGTATAAGAGTCCGAGGTAACTGAAAATGTACATTTTCTGTGTCTTTAATCAACGTTTTTCAGAAAAATCCACACTGAAATGAGTTCTTAAATGGGCATGAAAGGTGTTGAGCTAAAAAACAAAAATTTGATAAAAATTCACAAACCTGCGGAAAAATGCAAGTTTCTTCACTTTCATTATTTTGACGAGAGCCTGATTCCACCACGCTGCCTCACATTTACTGTCGTACTTTGCTAAGGAGAAATGAAGGCACTGTGAACAAAATATGTCACCTCGCATTAAATCACTAGCTAGGTTTGGGGTTAATATTAAAAGAGGAAGCGAAACAATGGGAAATGAATTGGTGAATTCATATCTCAGCCCATGGTTATTCAATTAGTTAACACACACACACACACACACACACACACACACAAATTACATGATTTTGAACACCATTAATGCCTACTAGATTAAGAAAATTTACCAAAACAAAAAGCTTGTCTGAACTATTCTTTGCTGACTATGGATCATTTGGTTCCCTTTTACTGTAGGTCTGGCAATATGTCACTCTGATGAACAACATTTTCCTCATCGACTGTCCTGGAGTTGTGTATCCTACAGGGGCCACACCCACAGACATGGTGCTCAAGGGAGTGGTGAGTGAAAGCAGTTTTCTTACTTTATAAACTCTTTGTATATATTTTTTTTCTTTCATTTTTCGATTTACTGTCATGCGTACCTGTTGCAGAGATGCCAATCCTCACAATTTTGGGGTAAGACTCACGAAAACACGAGTCTCACGCCTCAATGATTTTCTGTGTAATCTCACCAATTTTCATGGTCGGGTGAAATAGAATCTTAGTTGGAATAAAAGTCATTAGGTCATAGGCCGTAATAGTCACAAAGACTCATCATTGCAAATCGCTTCCGTTTCCACCTAAGTTTTGGTCTGCCCTTTGGGCCAAATATGCCATCGCCGGTCATGTATTTGGCTCTCCTCTTTTTCCGCATGTTGAAGCATTTTGACATCGTTAGGTGTGTGGTTGGCGGGTGCTCTGGTGTAGTTTGCTCCTTCTTTCCTATCAAGCATCTATCGTCCTTACCTCCCCTTCTTCTTTTTTATGTTTGTTACTCTCTTGTAACACCTCTAATCTTCTGGCGCTCATATGACCTTATGCAGTTGCGAGCGCCGTAAAACCTTTATTAAAACTAAAACTGACATAGTTACTCCAGATTCGGCTTGTGTGATTTTTGGGTTTATTGAATATCGTATTACCGTCCGTTACGCAGTCTCACAAAAAAAAATTCAAATCTCACTAAAGTTTACTTGGATCTCACTAGAAGCTTTCATCTTAGGTTGGCATCTCTACTGTTGGGGGGGGGGGTGTAACTCCCACTTACTTCATGTTTAATGTCTTTTACGTCTGTAATGAATGGCTCCCGAGTTTACTTGTAATTGGTCGGTTATTTGAGATCCATCCAAGCAGTTTTTGCTAAGGGTTTCCTGGGCTTTTGAAGTTCCCTGGCCTCTCCAACTGGTTCTATAAATAGTGGCGGTTTCTTCAGTTATTGATGTTATTCATCTCTTCTGAAGGTTTAATTTGAACATTGATTTATATTGGAATACAAAGTCTGTACAAAAACATTTGTACTTCTTTTTTGAATTTTAGTTAATTTTTTTTCTTTAGCTGCTATTAGTAAATTTGACCTCATTTTATATTTGTCCAGGTTCGTGTGGAGAAAGTGAAGCAACCAGAAGATTATGTTGCTGCAGTTCTAGACAGAGTGAAGAAAGACTACATTCAGAAGACGTACAACCTGGTGAACTGGGAGAGCCCTGAAGATTTTCTGGAGCAATTGGCAAAAATGTCAGGAAGGTTGCTGAAAGTGAGTGACTGTTGTTCTAAGTAGAATTCATATTCCGTAAAACCTGTGTAAAGCGGCCACCCATTGTCATGGAGAAAAGTGGCCGTCTTAGGCAGAACTGGTCCAAACCGGGGGTTGATCTCAGGATTAGGACTAAGGAAGTAAGGCTAATTCAGAAGGGTTTTTGTTTTCTTTTGGAAAAGGGGGGTGGATAGTGTAAGAAGGGTTTTTTGTGTTGTTTTGAAGGGGGGGGGGGGCTTTCTCCCTGTTTCTGATTTGTGCAAGGGTGAAATAAACGAAATATTATGTACATAAGATGATGAAGACCAAGTGCCATGGTAAAACAAACACACGGGTCACCACCACTCGGAGAATGACACTTCTGTCGCAAGTTCACATCAGCGTCCATTGTTACTTAGCTTAGATTAGAACAAAACAGTGACCAGTCACTTCACCCACGATTTGTGCATGAGTTGTGGGCGGGGCTTATAGGTTATGATGAATCACGCCTCCCTCACCAGCAGTTGAAAATTTATTATTAGGCTTACCCATTGGTCAATTTCGGTAAACAGTCACTGAAGGGACTAACAATAACGACAGGTGAATGAATGATGACAAAATTTTTGACAAAGCGTCTGGCAGTGAATGACCACGCCTGGCCGCCCCTGGCAGGTAAATTTGACAGTGGGTTGATAAAATAAGGTGGTCGCAGCCACGTTGGATAGGTGACTGTTTTACACAGTTGAATTATATTTTAAAAAACACAGGGGGGGGTGGAAAGTGGCCGTATTATATAGGTGGCCATCAAGGCAGGTTCGACTGTATGCAGAGATAATTGACAGTGGTTTTTAACTTTTGAAATAATTTCATTAAATTTTTGTAATGAAATTTATATCAAATAAGGTAGAGTGCTTAGGATGTACTGTAGAACATGGCTATAGCAGGACTTTTAGGTCCAGAAGAAAAATCCCGCTGTAGGCAAGTTCCCGCTGAAGGAATGCAAAGAGGAATTGCTGAAAAATCACAAACTACACGTTTTTCTCTTCTTTTAGTCTTTTTGGCCTAATCTAGGCCTAATTCTAGAAAAAAGGCTCGTAGATTTGTTTGCATTCATGAGTCTTGAAAATTGTGTGATGAGAATATCCATTTTCATTTGAAGAATCAATGTAGTTTACATTTGACTTTCTGCAAGTCTTTGCCATTGACATAATCAGGGGTTGTTGGCAGATCTTTCTTTCACTTCTTCTATCTTAGAACTAGATGATGCAGTGACCTAAGTATGCATATAATATAGTCATTTTATCTTTGTACTTCTCTTTTCCAGTAAATGTTTTAATCTAGTGCTTTATTTGATTCATTACTGTATTACAAAATAACCAGATTTACTATGTTTTGTTCCAGGGTGGAGAGCCAGATATCAGCACTGTGGCCAAAAACGTCTTGAACGACTATCAGAGAGGGAAAGTGCCGTACTTTGTCAGACCTCCAGAGAGTGAGGTAAGTTGGTCTATACAAGACAGTCTGGCTTCATCATGTTTGACTGTGTCTTTAGCAAATACATTCTGCTTTTTGTGGGTCTTTTTGAAGTGGCCCATTAGACACAGAATTATAGTCTTGTCTGTTGAAACATCTGATTCCTCGCAAGAGCACCAGGCTTAGGATATTCTACTTTTTTTAAAGGTCGACTTATCTAAATGTCAATGACAGTTTTGTTGTAGTACTGTCCTGTCCATTTGTAGCAGCTTCTGTTATTACAGCAACTTGAATATAACTGTGATAAATCAAATCCCTGGGTTTTTTCTTCTCTATAAATGTCAGTAATTTGAACATGGCTATAACATGGTTCAATTTGCGCAGACTCTGGTGTAATATAACGATAGTCTTCCAGCGCATGAACTTGCTTTCAATCCATCAAATTATTAAAATTTGTCTCGACTGAGACATTTCACCTGTTTGTATGATGGCTTGCCTGAACACACACACTCTCACTCTCACTCACACACACACACACACACACACACACACACACACACACACACACACACAGAGTTGGGGTCACTCATCGATTCTGTCTCAGTGTCAGCAAAACAGCCCACCGGAAAAGGATCTGCAGTAATCAACTAGATTAAGCTGTAGGTGCAATGGTACTGGTAAGACTCCCTTATAACAGTAGAGGGACAAACTGTCGGTCTCATCTGTCCTGTTATATCCGAGTTTGAATGTATTTCTTTTTTTTTAATTATCAGGTGAGCTTTCTCTTAATTTTCTCCCCAAAGAAGTCCCCCCCTCCTCTTTTCTCAGCTTTGCCACTGTTCTGTACATCCATATAGTTCCATGACCCATCTGTGAGGTTTAAGTGATCACAATCATGTATGATTTATAGACTGAGTTCTAAAGTTGCGGTATTTAGATTTGTCTATACTACTCTTTGTCTGTTTGGGGGTTGGTCTGCAAATGAATTGTTTTGTTCTGTCTTTTTTCACTTTGCTTATTTATCTCTCTACAGTTGGAAGAGGAGAATGATGACATCCCTGAGAATGCCGAACTGTTGGAGGCAGCAGCTAATGATGGGTCTCTGGTCGATGGCTCCAATGATGCAGCCAAAGAGAATGGAGATGAAGAAAGCTTAGCTGCAGGGGCAGAAGAGTCTATGGATAAAGAAAATGAATCTGAAGATAACAATGAGGAAGACAGTGATGAAGATGAAAGGGAAATGTTAGATGGGGATGACAATGGGGAAAAGACAGAAAATACTGAGGTGACTGAGGACATTACATCTGAGAGTTCTTCACCTGACAAAAAGAAAAGGAGAAAGAAAGAAAACTTCATTCATCCATTCTTTGAACAGACCAGTAGAAAACTTGGAGATATCAATAAGAAAATGGCAAAGTTGAAACAGAACCTGAAAGAAATTCAGGCTCGAAAAGCTGAAAAGCAGAAGAAAAAGCTGGCAATGGTGGAGGATGCCCCTCAGACAGTTGCACAGTCAGACTCAGACACCACAGAGAAGAAGGCTGCAGCGGTGAAGACGAACAAAAAGCTGCCACAGTACATTCATGTACCAGACACTGATCTACCGTCTGAAAAAGTACACGGTGGAAAGAAAGGAAGAAAGAGGATATTCCAAAGACTGGCAGACTCTTTAGTTCCGTGCTCCACAGCTACAAACATGTCTCCTGATGGAACCGTCAGTTCCCGCAAACGAAAACTGGATTCTGGTGAAGATTCTGCATCTCCTGTGTCAGCAGCTAAGAAAGGAAAAGTTAACTCTGTCACAACAGTTCCAACAGCCAGTGGTGCTATGATAGTTAGTGACATCAATGACGGTCCCCACCCGAGGCTGAGACCAGAGGGAGGTGCTGAAGGTGAGCACTTGTATGTTTGTCCAGAAATATGTCGTAGCTGCTGTCTTCTGGTTGAGGTTGTACCCTCACTTTTTTATCTGACTGTGTAGTTATTATTACCTTTTCTTGTCAGCTGCTTTATGTATGAAATATGAAGTCTTGATGTTTTCATTGTCACTGGCTTTTAATATTGTGTCTATCATAGTCCTTAAAAAAAATTTAAAAATAAATTACTATTAACCTGTCCAAGATGACCACCCATTGTTGCTTCTTCTCAAATTAAAGGGAGGGTATTGGAGGTCCTTTTTTTTTTTTCTCTGTTGTTTCCATCTGTCATTCATACATAGATGTGCTTCTCAGAATTCAAATTCAAATTAGAGATTGCAAATAAAATCAAATGGTTCTTTTGTGTTTGTAGATATAATGTGAGTTGAGATTAATCTAACTATGCTCAGATTTTCAAGACATATTCCTTTTTATAAGCTAGACATGTATTCGTTTTGTTTCAGCAGACCCAGCAACATCTGTGAAAAAGAATCCAGGAGCGGTCAAGTCTACTGGCAAGAGGAGAAGAATAGAGAAGGAACAGGATGAAAGCCCAAGGCTGAAAGGATTGGAGGTATGATGCTGATTTTCAAATTAAGCTAGTATTTCAAGGTCCTGATTTAAAGTCTAGCCTAAACTTTCTAAACACTTTATGACTCCTGCTATACGTTTTGTGAACTTTTTCCTTTTAGTCAAGTTGTCTTATTTCTTTCTGTTCAGCTCACATAGAGTAAACAGTCAAGTGCGCCAAACTCCCTAATGGCCAGATGAGTTCTCTTTGATGAAGATTTGTTATCTATGTTATTGAGTCGGTTTGTGTTTTGTTTATTTTGCTCATGATTATCTGAAATAAGGCTCTTTTTGAGCAAGTGTTTCCTGCTGTGAAGGTGAGCAAACGAAGACAGTCTTGTTTCCTTTACCAACCAGCATGGCCTGGGCAGATGTGTAGAAGCATCTCTCAGTCCTGGTCTAGTTCATGTTAGCAGTTGTGACCGGGGTGGGTGGGTGGGTCCAATGTTTTTACCATTAAGATGTGCGCAGTGTAGATGAGGGGTAGACGAGTACATAGTTGTAGAGCTGCACCTTGAAAGGTTCATTGGTTAAAGTCATCGCCAGAGCCGTTGTTGAGAAAAATGCAATTTTATGAGAAGGCAAAGCTAATGGTAATAGTAATAGCTTGAATTGTAGTACCATCATTATTCAAAAGTTCTAGTGAGGTTGTGACACGTAATCACATTTTAAAACCTTTTTATTTGTAGGAGGTAGGATCACTCTCTGTTCCCACATAGTGTTATTTCGTTATATATCGGTTGTTAAAATCTGTATGAAAGTGTTTAGTTTAACAAGTTCTAAGATAAGTAAATCTGGACTGTAGTCTGCATTTGTAAACTTTTCTAGTAGTTGTCTTTGGTTTGGCTTGTTTTTGTTTTAGTAAGAGTTTTACAGCGCTTGCTACACATTAAAGTCATATAAGAGGCGTTACAAGGGAGTAACAAACCCAAAAAATGAGGAGGAGAGATGAGGATGATAGATGTTTGATAGGATAGAAGGAGTGAACCACACCAGAGCACCCACCAACCACACGTTTGGCTTGTTTGCCTCAGTGTTTAATTGCACTTATTGAGAATGCTTGTGGCATCGATAGCTTAGTGGTTAGGCTCTCGGACTCCCAACCGTAAGGTCGTGGGTTCAAATCCCGTCAGGGGCCCGATGTTGTGTCCTTGGGAAAGGCACTTAACACCAATTTTCCTCACTTCACCCAGGTGGGAATGGGTACCCAGCTATAGACAGCGAAAGATCTTGTCAGTTTGTTAGTGTTTGAGTGCTTAATTGGCTGCTTGCACTGTATGCTTCCCGGGAAGCTGAGAATGTTTCGGAGTGTTCTGTGGTCTGCTGGGGTAATAATATAGTGTAAAGCACATAGAGCCTGCTGCTGAGCGGGGATATGTACTATACAAATGCTATTTATTATTATTATTATTCTAATGTAAGTGAAAAGTTTTAATGGATATTTGGAGGAAACCACTGTTGGGTCCAACTACTTTATCCTTCCTGTTATTTCTGCATATCATTATCTTCAGATTTGCCTTTCCCTGTTTCAAAATAACTATTCTTATGTCAGTGTGTATCTCTTTATTTAAAGGTATACAAAGCCACACATTTGGAATTTCGTGGTTAAGTTTTTTACCCTCTTTACTTATAAATTTTCAACTCTTTTTTTTTTTTTTTTCCTTTACAGAGACGCCGAATGCAGCGACAAGAGATCAAGGAGCTGAATAAAAAGAATGAATTTTACAAGGATAAAGACATCAAGAACAGAAGACAGAGAAAAAGATAGCTTTGAAATATGTTGTTGTGTGAATGTTGGTATTATTGACATTGTTTCTTTGTGTATGTCGGAACGGAATGTTTAGAAACTACTGCCTACAATAAACAGTAGGCTATGAAGACTTTTAAAGGAAATGTTTACCGGTTCTGTGATTTCTGCAAAGTCGCAAGACTTGTTCAAATGAATAAATGAATTATACAAACTATATATCTTTTATTTAATTTCTATTGTACCTGATTTTGTGGTATGTTGTGAGTGTTTGACTCTGTTAGTCTGTCTGAGGAGCTCTCACTTCAAGTACTTTTTTAAAAAAAAGTCCATGGTGTTACTATAGTCTCGACCCCCTTCACTGGATAAGCTTCAAGTCCTTCAATGACTGTGTGATAGGGATTTAAGATATGTGAGACGACCTGGTGGAATTGGGCGCTTGTCAATTTTTAGGCATATGGAGTTATCGGAGTTATCTTAAAGCCTGTTCATTTGCCTTGCTCTTTAGGGAAAAAGTATCCATCTAGGCCGAATAGAAGTTGAAATATTTGCAATTGAATTGGAGGTCAGGGTCGCCTGATTTCAGAGGTAAAATTAACGAGAAAATGGCTGCCAAAGCTTGGTAAATAGCCTGAGAGTCCTTGGAATCTGAAAATTTACATTTTATGTGTTCCTTTAATCCATGTTTTTCAGTAAAATTGACACAGAAATGTATTTTTAAAATATAAAAGTGTTGAGCCAAAAAAGAAAATAAGAAAAAAATTGCCCAACAGCCAAAAAAATGCCAATTTCTTCGATTTCATTATTTTGACGAGAGCCTGACCTCACCACAATGCCTCACATGTGAGAAAGTCACACCGAGGCATTCATCAGTCAACACATACAGAGCAAAATTAAGGTACAAGTGACTGGTGTCTAACTCCAAAGTCAAAGCAATTTTTGCTTCTACCCCTTTTTCTTTGTTGTTGGGAACTGTTGTTAGAAGCTCTAGTGTAAGATTAGTTTCTCTTTGCAGTTTCAATACTGTCATCTTGAAGTTGATTTTTTAGGGGGGATGGTGGGGGGGGGGGGGGGGCCATCATCAGTCTCACTTGCTGAAAAGAATAACTACAAAACTCCAGGTTGCTGTCATCTGATCATTTATCTTCTACATACATTTAAGCCAAGTAGACTACTTAACTTCTTGCCTTAATTTATTAAACGCGACAGTATCAGAAAAATAGACATGTTGAAATTGAAGAATACATGTACATTGTGATGTACATTAGGGGTTGGGGGGAAGCATGTCCCAACATGTTGCATTTACAGATTTTCTCCAGGCAGCAGAGGGAACTGGAAGATAATATGATTAATATATTTTCTTTACATTTGTTTTTCATGTCCCTTTCAGCACCATTGATTGACAACGACAATTTTATTTTTGATCTGGATGGAACAAGATAAGAGAATTGAACCATCATGCATTCTGGTGAGGAATTGATGTATCATGTGTAGACAAAGTCAAAGACGAAAGGAAAAAAAAACGGTGCTCATGCACTCAACAAGGAAAGACTTGGGTTGGAATCCACAGGGTAAAAGATCAAGGGGAAGACCACATGGAACCTGGAGAAAAGTCTCAGAAATTGATGAACAGAAAAGTGGGAAGACAGGGAATGGGATTGGGAAAGTTGGTTCATGGCCTCTACCCTGATCCAGGGCGAGAAAGGCAATGCTGGCAATAGGCCCAATATGATGATGCACTTGCCATTTTGGGACCGCAGGGCCAGGGTGTACATGGATGATTAATAATTAAATAACCTAATATTTTCCTTTGAGTTTCACATTTCAACTGCAATAGTTTCAGTAATAGTTTGTATAATTAATATTATGTTTGGTAGTGCTCAACAGTCCATTTATTATAGTTTGATCACAGGTCGCCCCTGTTATTTTAAAAACTAAATGAGTTTTAGCTTCATCACTATGTGAACTGAGTTGATATCAGTTCTGTGTGATCTAAGCTTGCTAATCAGAAAATGACCCCTTTTTTATTTCTACGAGAAACAGTTTCACTAGCAGCTGTCATCTCTTTCTTTCAGGATGAAATACATGTACATGTAAGTCAAACAAATTTTGACGGTTTGGCTATACTTACTAGCCACTAAGTTTCTCTTCTGTCATTTTTTTAGATTAGAGAGAAACACGTAGGCGCTCCCTTAGCTCAGATAGTATCAAGCTGGACTACGGAGTGGATGGTCCTGTTTTGAATCCCAGTTTGGGCATTCTTGAACTCAGGTCATTTTGTGGAGTTTTCAAGGTTCTCAATCCATTTGGCTTGCTTCTATTGGTAACGGACGTTTTATTCGGAGGTCCCGCCTCATAAACAACCTGATAGAGTGTTGATAGGGGCATTTAATCCATATATATGCTTACTTTTTTTTAGAAACACAGAAACATTGATGGTCTTATGACCAAATGCTGAGGAAAAGGAAGAGATGATAAGCAGAAACATACTGACAAACTAACTGAATAAACTCTTTCCTTTGCCTGACGGTGTAGTATGTCGTATGGGACTTTGAGACTTATTTGATCCAAAAACACAAGTACAATGACAATAGCCTCATCAAGTTCACAAGCATGGAATAGGAAGAGAACAAAAGGAGGGGAACCATACCAATAAAAAATAATCAACTTCAACAGGGAATACAAGTACAAGTACGTGCACATCGTTATTTGGCTCGTACACGTCTCTATTCTCACCACTGCATTCAAGTTCAAGATGTCTGGTATATTTCTCTGACAAAATTAACTAAATTGATCAAATATGAAAAAAAACCTCGATCAATGAAAGTGCCTAATGTGATGAGCGTTCTGTTACACCAGAATGCCTGATGTACTGCTAGCATAAGACTTTGTTGTGAAAGGGACATTTTGGGTTCAAACCCCTACAGAGCTCTTACCTCAAACGCCTATATATAACCATTAAGAAGGCCAGCAAGATCTCTGGATATGATTTTATAAGAATGGATGAAATGTATAACACCACACGTATAAAAAAGATAAAAAGCATTATAAACGACCCATCACACCCTTTTTCCGCACAAATTGTAAGACCACGCAGCGGCAGATATGTACCTCCAAAAACAAAGAAAGAAAGATATAAAAGAAGTTTTTTTACCACCTAGCATAGGGCTTTTGTCAGAATGAGCATAGTTGTGTGTTGCTCTTAGAGTACGTATCTGTATATAACTCCAAAGGTCTAGTATTTAAATTCCTGCATGTGGTTGAATGATGCATTTGATGTAAATGTACATTTTGTCAGCTTTACTTCTCCTTTCATATTGAATTTTAATGAGAGTAATATACATAATTTAAATTTTGTATGTATACCTGCATGTGTTTTTACGGTCCTGTACAGCCAAGGAAAATTTCCCTCTGGGATAATAAAGTACTATCTTATCTTATCTCTTAACTTATCTTATACTTATAATAATACATGTAGGCCTACATGCTGTTTCAGGGACTTTTGAAGGGTCTCTCTCTCCTCTGACCCCATTTGTCCAATCAGAGATATAATAATTTATTATAATGCTAATACGAATAATCATAATGGTTCGGGCGGATGTTCTTCAGTCTCATTCTAAACACAACGTCTTGGTAAGTGTGGACGGTACTAAACAAAGGAAGTGGGCTTATGTGAAATCTAACAAAAACATTGTAGGCTACATGAACATGTACAACGTACAGGAGAAAATCTGGAAGGCAAAAAAGGGCAGGGTTGACCAAGAACAACTCACTTAATAACCAGGTGAAAAGGAAGGACCAAGATCAAATATTAAATACAGGCTATATAATAATAACAATAGTCTTACAATGCATGTATAATAATATTATATTATATTAATTATATTAATTTTTGTTGGCTTTTTGTTTTTTATTAATTAATTGATTTATTTGGAGAGTGTCTGATCAGGGAAATGAGTGAAGAACAATGATTGTCGACGTCTGATGCAGATCTGGCGGGTGATGATATTATGATTATGAGAATAATTAATTTTAAAATAAGTTTCATAAGAAAATAAACTGCGAAGCAAAATCAATCGGGGAAAAAAAGTACGAAGCAACTTTCCCTCTTCCGGCGCTTCGTTCATTCAGTCATTCATCGACCATCGTTTGTTTACTTCCGGGAGTTTAGAGCGAGCACGAATTTTGAGTTCAAGTTGGGTCATTTTTGTATCGAAGAATAAGTGGGTTTTACTTCTATACAAACATACACAACATGACTGCAATGTCTCATTTTAGCCGACCAAAGATCAAAAAGAGGTCAGCATTGTTCACGCGGCGCGTGAAATTATCGAAGAACTCTGCACTGTCTCTGGTATGTTGAGAGTTGAAAAGATTAAAAAAGGGAAAAAATGCCATTTCGTTACGAGCGACCACCCCAACAAACATAATAAATAAGAGCCCTAGCCCTAACACTACTCCTAACCCTACCCCTACCCCTAAGCCCTCTATTCTACTCTCTCATAGTGGTCACTCGTTACGGAAGTCCTCCCGTAAAAAAAGTACAATATAGTCTAGATTTCTAGATCTAGATCTAGATCTAGAGATCTAGATTCTAGATAGAAATTTCCACTGTTACTGTTAATTCCAGACTCATTTTAGACTATTTTTGGGCACTATTTTAACGTTTTTAGTGTGCTGAGAACAATTTTGCCGGAAAGACTTCCGTAACGAGCGTCCACCCCATCAATCAAACACAATAAAAAAGGAAAGTGGCTATTCTCACCCGCCCGGAAGTTCTCGCAAGATCAACTCCTCCCCTCTTCTCTCTCTCTCTGTCTCTTTCTGAATACTGTTTATCGGTGTGGACGATCAAATTGACCAAAACAAAGTTAAAAAATGATGTTAAAACACACAAAAGTAAATTAATTTGGTTGTCTACAAAGATGCTACGGCTATTTAACTTTTCGAATCAAGCCGAACTACGCGGGTCGCCATTTTGTTTTGCCCAGAAATTCTCGCGCTACTCCTCTCTCTCTTTCTCTCTCTCTCTCCACTGCCCACAGACAAAATTGTACGCTTTTAGTAGGCTACAGTTGTAATGGAACGTTTGTTCACGGCATAGAATTCTACAAATTTTCTGTTATCACAGTGTAGAATTCTGTGGTTTAGGGTGAACGCAAAATTTGGTGAACGCGCACCGGGTGAGAATAGCCACAAGAATCGCCTGCACTATTCTCACTCCGGGTGAGAATAGAGGTGGCCATAAAAAAGAGGCCTAACCCCTAACCCTAAGGCCGTCGTTATTCGGACTCGGGTCCGGAAAAAAGGAAGTGTCTTCGTTCTATAGATCTAACGTTCAGTGCTTCCAATTTTCTGCCATTTTTTAGTTTCCTCCATACCTTATCTGCCGATCCAATGCCCGCCGCCTCATTGATATGCCCTCCCCTCCCCCCCCCACGTTTCCTACTTTCTTTGTTGTAGAAAAGGGTAAAATTGAAGATTAGCAGACCACCTGGCACCTGCATATTATGAGCTGTGTAAAAAATAAAAGAAGACTGATTCGTTCAAATACACAAGCCTGTGTCATTCGATTGTTTACCAAGAAAAAGTTGTTTTGCTGTGTAGAGCTGAGCATACGGCAACTTTTGATTCCATAGACCAGCGCACAATTCATTACGTAGATCTATGTCAAGACTATCTTATTATTGTAATAATGATCAGTTGCCGGGGGGAAAAAGACTGACGCGTATGCGACGTTCAAAGCCCGGACCGATAGTGCCCCCCCGCCACCACCCTCCCCGACACGCACACAGCCACACGTGTGCAGGCCGCCCATCCGACCCAGACACACACTAACGAGCCATCTTTAATTGCTTCTGATGACCTGTTGACAAATAAACATTTATTAAATGAGCTATAACTTTTCAGGCCGACCTCAAATTCATCATAAGATTAAAACTTGGCTCCTGCACAAAACGCCTTTTTGCCCGAAGTGATCCCGGTCTCTACCCAGCCTGAGGCGAGTCACGATTGAGGCTGGACAGGAAGCCGGATTCACGAGTCACAGGAAGTCGGAAGTGATGTCATGCTGGACAAGAATCAGAGTCCGAATAACATTTTTTCATATTCGGACTCGAGTCCGAATAATCACTTCGTAACCCTAAACCTTAACCCAAACCCTAACCCAAACCTTAACCCTAACCATACCCCTACCCCTATTAGCCTGCCCGACCCCTAGATCTACCCCTACCCCTAGCCCTCAATTCTGCTCTGTCTCATAGTGGTCGCTCGTTACGGAAGACCTCCCATTTTGCCACTAAAAACTGTCACAAACCATTATTTTTGTGAATTTAGCAGGGGGGAGACCCTTCCGCAACCCTCTGCACCCCCCTTTTTTTTACGTGGCTTCAGTTTTTGTTTACCATCGTGTAACATGTATAGCGTATAAATGTCTATGGAGTTAAGCCGGGACCACTTCTCCTGAAGACTGCTGACAGTTGTCTGTGTTTGTTGTTATAACTTGTTATTATTTATTTTTTGTTTTCTTTGGGAAAAGGGGGGAGGGTGGTGTAAGAAGGGTTTTTTATTGTTGTTTTGTTGGGTTTGTTTTTTGGTTAGCTTTCTTTTTGTTGCTGATTTTGTACTTGTGTAAAATTTAATAAACGAAATATATTACAGGTGTAGACGATGAAGATTGAGTGCCATGGTAAAATAAACACAAGGGTCACTACCACTCGGAGAACGAGAGACACATTAGTTGCAAGTTCACGTTAACGTCCATTTTAACTTTGTACAGGTGGCCGTCTTATAGGGGTGGCCGTCATGATAGGTTCGACTGTATGATATAACAAAGTGAATTGAATTGGTTGCTAGAGATACAAAATATTCTAAATAATCTATTTACCACTTCCCACACACACCTTTGTGAGCTCAACCTTTTTTTAGCACTTTTGTTGTCGATTATTTTCTGAGTTGCAGAGTTGCACTGATTTAGGGAAATGTTAAATATCCCCCCCACCCCCCCAAAAAAATGGAATTAAATTTTAAAGTCGCCTGGAGAAAGTTTAAAGGCATTGCTACTAAATGGTTTGTTAGTTTTTTCTTATACTAGTTAAACGAATTTTTATTGAAATATTTTTCCTTGAGGTAGTCTTTTTTTTTTCATAGTAGAGGGTTTTACGGCGCTCGCAACCGCATAAGGTCATATGAGGTAGTCTGCAAACCTGCAAAAAATATATGGGAAATTCATCAGACTATTTTTAAAAAAATGTTGCATCTTCTGTTCGTTCTGCAACAATTTCATGAATATTGGATAAAAACTGACGGAATTATTATTTTAAAAGTATAAGCTGTTATTTTTAGAAGAGGGACTTTAAGGAGATGTTGTGGTAACTAACACCTGATATGTGACGAAATAATGGTTAGTTATAGTATTTCTTATGCGATGAAATAGTTGTAAGATAGGCTGTAGAAGCCAAAACTGCCCATATCTCAAAATCCATAATTTTGACCCAAATCAAAACTTTCGGGTGTTTAACAAGTGGAACGGTTTGTGTGTTGGCATTGTAATGGGTTAATTTTTATGCATAGTAATGCTGTATTTGAAATGTATCCTTTTCTTTTCAGCTGTTCGTTCACTACAGTGTGTTCCTGCAATCTTTGATGAAAGCTGCAACAACTGAGGCAAGAGATAAACGGGCAAGAAATTTGAAAGCAGAACATATCAAGGCAGTAGCTAAAGTAGGTTTTTCTATTTATTATAATGTTGTTGTTACAGTAGCTGCACGACTATCAGTTCTTCTAATCCTTGATCTATGAATAAACTCAAAATCTCAAATGGAATCTTTTGTCAATCCTTACATTTTGTTTCTTGTCTCTCTCTCTCTCTCTCTCTCTCTCTCTCTCTCTCTCTCTCTCTCTCCCTCGACCTCCCTCTCTCTCTCCTCACCTCCTCTCTCACCCATAGTCCCTCTCGC